TATGATACATATATATATATATATATATATATATATATATATATATATATGTGTATGTGTGCGATACGTTTATTATTAACCGCACACATTTAGATCAAAATTTATATATTTTTATTTTAGAATTTTCAGATTACTTACAAACGATATATTTGATATCATCTGATATTGCAGAAAACATTAATAATATTTTTTAACTCAGAATTTTATGTATTATTGGAAAATATGTAAATTTGTGTAGAAAATTCTCAGCATTATCATTTTCATATACATATGTATATTTATAAGTGTTAATATTATTCATTCAATAGAAAATATTTATTTAGAAATTATCTGCATTATTTAAAGCAATGTATTCATAGAGATACTTAACAAGATAAGTCAATAGGAAAAAAATTGTAATTATGATTTGTTATCAAGTCTTTATTTCATTTAAAGTACTTACCACTCCGATAAAATTTGAGTAACTATTATGTGCTATTTCTCGTTATTATTTCTTCCAATATTTTCAATCCTCCTAATTGTTTTCTATTAAAGATGTGAAATATCACATTATCCTAACAACTTCACGTTTTATTTAATGTGCTGATAACGTGTCGGAATGTGCTGTTTATCGTGAAAGTGACTTTATGAATCACATTTGAATATCTTCTTAGGACAGATACTTCGTTTCTTGTATAAGACAATTACTCCCCCCCCCCCCCCCCCACGCATCGTTCCGGCCATACCAACCGGCCGGACGCCGCTGCGTCGCCACGTGATGCAGCGATGAGGGCGCAAAGCGCCCGATAAAAAAATAAAGCATAATTCACAGGTATCGGTGGCAGTAATAACCGCCAAGCACCGCCGAACGAAGCCGAAACCGATCGGTTTCCGCAGACTCCTACTACTCAGAGCCTCGCGTACCGCGAATCTCGAGCGGCGGGAAAATTCGAGCCGAACCGAAACCGAACGAACGCGGTATTTTGCAGTATAAAAATACCGCGTTAGCAATAAACAGGGCATTCCGCCTCCGATCCTGATTCCAATATTTGTCCTAGCACTAGCTCTGATTCCTAGCATACTTCTAGTAGTCGAGAAAACGGATCGGAGAGTGCTCCGACTCGATCGGGAGTTCCCACTTCCCGGTAGACAAAACAGAGGTATCCGCAAGCACCGTACGGCGAAACCGAGAGGTAGAGAGTACTCTACCTATGCCGAGAGTTCTCGGCAGCCGTCCGGTGCAACTCGCGACTCAACCGACGCGCGACGCCCGGGAGCAGAGAGTGTTCTGCCTCCGCCGAGTATTCTCGGCCGTCGGCCAGAGCCGCAGCTCTATCTCGCTTCTTTGCGACCGACCAGTATCCGTCAGGGGGTGGAGAGTTCTCCACCACCACCGAGATTTCTTGGTCTCTGATCGTCGCCTGATTCCGTTGCGAATCCGCGATTAATTCATAGCTCGCGATTCACAATCGTTAGTTCGTCGTATAGGCGATACCCGAAATAGCCGGGTAACAGCTGATCAGCCGCGCTAGCCGAGACAGAGTAGAAAAAACGCGCAGCGGGTCTTCAAACGGCCCGTAACAACACCACGCCGAATAGCGCACACCGCGGTTACTCACTAACACGCGCACACTCTTATAATTTGTAATAAGCGTGCCGACTCGCTTACCCCGCGAACACGCCGACACGCATACGAAGACATACACACACACACACACACACACACACACACACACACACACACACACACACACACACACACACACACAC